CCCCCTCTTCCCCATTTTTCCATCCGTGCCAGGCGTGTTTCTGTGGAGTCTCAGTACACTGTGCCAGCCCAGCGTGGGGAGCATCCCTGGGGCAGAGGCTGCTGGGGGCATCAGTCCAGCTGGGACAGGGCAGGGAAGCCACTGGTGTCCTTTGGGAGCAAAGCCCATGGCTCTGGGGACGTGCATCCCTTGTGGGGGAGCAGCTTGGTCAACGGATTCACGGAGTGATGATGGATCCAGCCCCTGCCTCCCCAGGGTGATGCTGGATCCATGGGAAGATGATGGATCCATCCCTTGCTATGTCCACGGGGAGGTGATGGGTCTGTCCCCTGCCTCCACAGGGTGATGATGGATCCATGGGGAGGTGATGGGTCCATTCTCTGCCTCCACAGGGAGATGATGGATCCACAGGGAGATGATGGGTCCATCCCCTGTGTCCATGGGGTGACGCAGGACAGCTGCCAGCTCCGTTAGCAGCTCCCTCCCGTGCACCAGAAGATCCCCACGGCCATGCCCAGCAAGCAGAGGGTCCCCAGGATCAGCCCCAGCACCAGCGGAGCGCGCGACCGCACGCTGAGTTTTCCTGCAAGAGCCGAGAAGGACGGAGGTGACGACCAGGGTCACCCCACCACGTCCCTGTCCCCATCCCAGGCCCCAGCCCAGACCTGTCCCGGCGCTCTGAGCCTGCAGGATGCTGACACAGGTGGTGTTGAGGAAGTGCTGCAGGTGCTGGGTGGTTATGGGGTACTTCATCAGCTCCGTCTTGGCAAAGGCGGCCACCCGGTGCTGGCCGGGCCAGCGCCGCTGCCAGGTGGCGTTGGGGACGTGGAAGCTCAGGAAGGCCGTCCCGTTGAGGGTCACCTCGTAGAAGCTGTGGGATGTGCCGTTGGGGAAGAGGCGGCAGCCGAGGTGGCAGCAGAGCCTCTGGGTGTCTGTGGGGACAGAGGGACAGACGGGGTCACCAGGTCCCACCCAAACCGTGCCCTGAGCTCTCACGGCCTCAGCCCTGCAACAGCCGACCCACCCACCGCTCTGCTCCCCCTCAGAGGCTTTTCCAGTGGCCGGGATTATTTTCCCTCCCTTATCTCCCAACAGCACAGATCCAGTTTTACGGAGATGAGAGGGTTTCGGGGCACTCATTGCTCTCCTGGATGGATGCACCCAGGGAGCAGGGGGACACCAGGATGTGGGGGTGTCACACCAGAGCCCCCGTGGTGACACAGGGCTCCCCAAGGAGCAGGTACAGAAATGTGGAGCTGGGGAGGAACAGGTTTGGGGGTAAGGAAGAAAAGGAAGGTGAAGCACAGCCTGGGCAGGAGCAGCAGAGGAATCTGGGCTTGTGGAGAGGTGCAGGAGCACGAAACCGTCACCAGCAGCATCCCATTGCTCCTGGAAAGCTGTGGGATGCTGGCAGGGAGCAGGCAGGGAGTAGGCAGAAAGCAAGCCGGTCACAGACAGGGTGCAGGTAGGATACAGGTAGGATGAAGACAAGAAGCAGGCAGTAAGAAGGCAGGATGCAGGCAGAGTGCAGGTGGGATACAGGTGGGATGCAGGCAGGGTGCCTACACCTCACTATCCCCCCCAGCTGCAGTCCCAGCCCTTTTCCTGAGGAGCAGAAGCAGGTTGAGCATCACCCCGTTCCCAGGGCAGGCTCTGGATGAGAAATTCCCGGCTCCACAGAAGGGCTCCCTTTGCCCACAGAGAGGTTTTGCACATGGCCACGTCCCCACCCCTCTGCCCACCTGTCCCTGCAGAGCCATCCCCGTGCCCTGGCAGCGCAGGGGGGTCTCCCCCACCCCAGTGCCCCCCGCACTCACAGTCCATGGGTCTCTCCTTGTTGAAGAGCTTCACCAGGTTGCTGAAGGTGCTGAGGTAGGTGGTCACGTCCCTCTGCCGCTGGGCCCAGGCGTGGGGCGGCTCCAGCGGCAGCACCTGGGTGACATTGTGCCCCTCCAGCACGTGGCTGAGCCGCCCGTCCAGGCTGGCGTTCCCCCAGAAGAGGCAATTGCCTTCGAAGACGCGGGTGTAGTGCACCATGGTGAAGGTGAGCGGGGCTGCGGGACACGTGGGGACATCACGCACCCGCCCCGTCCCCCCGCGAGCCCCGCGCCCACCCCTGCAGCCCCCGTGTCCCCGCCGCCAACCCGAGCTCTCGCCCCCGTTGCCCTGCCTTACCTGCCTGCTCCGCCCCGCAGCCCAGGGCCCCGCAGAGCAGCAGCAGCCGCAGCATCGCGGGGACGGGCACGGGATGGGGACGGCAACGGTGGCCCCGAGACTGGCCCGGCCGGGAGTTCGGCGTGGGGACAGCGGTGGGCACGGAATGGTGGCCCCGGGCTGGCCCATGGGATGTTAAGCCGGCCGGGGAGGTGGGGCTGTGGGAGGAGGAGAGCGGGACTCCAGCCAGGTCTCTCCCATTTCCTCACCCGACCCACCCGCACCCCTTCCCTGCCGGACATGCCGGGCACTGCAGCGCCCCGGGATGCGGGATGAGGCTCCAAATCACCTCGGGACAGAGGGAATTGGGCGAGCAGCCAGTGCCTGCCTCAGTTTCCCCATCCCTTGGCAGGGCAGGGTCCATCCTGCTCCCCTGGGAGACCAGTGGGGACACGGTGATGGGGACCATTCCCAGGGAATGGGGGAGGGATGGAGGGAGCAGCCTCACACCCACCAGGCCTGAAGTGGGCATCCAGCACCAGGACCCCCCTCCCTGGAAGGGGGTGACACTCGGGGGAGCTAAGCTGAGGGGTGGGGATTCCCTCACACAGAAGAATTTCTTCCCAATATCGCACCTAACCCTGCCCTCTGGCAGTGGGGAGCCATTCCCCCTTCTCCTCTCACTCCAGACCCTTGGAAATAGTCTCTCTTCATCTTTTTTGTAGCTCCTTCAGCCACTGCAAGGCCACAATCAGGTCACCCCAGAGCTTCTCCTCTCCAGGCTGAACAATCCCAACTCTCCAGCCTTTCCTCTCAGCAGAGCTGCTCCAGCCCTCTGACCACCTTGGGGCCTCCTCTGGACTCTCTCCAGCAGCTCCATGTTCTCCCTGTGCTGTTCCCCAGGGCTGGAGCAGCTCTGCAGGGGGGTCTCCCCTGAGGGGCAGAGGGGCACAATCCCCCCCTGCCCTGCTGCCCACGCTGGGGGATCAGCCCAGGGCACGGGGGGTTCTGGGCCGGGCCATGTCCAGCCTCTCCCCCACCAGCCCCCCAGGCCCTTCTCCCAGGGCTGCTCCATCTGCTCATCCCCAGCCTGGAGTGATCCCGGGGCTGCCCGACCCAGCTGCAGCACCAGCCCTTGGCCTTGTTAAACCTCAGGAGATTCCCAAGGGCCACTTCTGGAGCCTGTCCAGGTCCCTCTGGATGGCCCCGTCCCCCAGCTGTGTCCCTGCACCCTCAGCTCGGGGTCACCTGCAAAGCTGCTGAGGGTGCCCCTGATCCATCCTCTGCCTCATTAATGCACAGATTAAATAACACTGGTCCCAGCACAGACCCCCAGGGCCCCCCACTGCCCACTGGTGTCCACTGGGACCCTGAGCCACTGACCACGACCCTCTGGATGGGACCATCCAACCACTTCCTTGTCCATCTGACAGTCCATCCATTGAATCCTTCTCTCCCCAGTGGAGAGAGAAGGATGTTGTGGGGGACCATGTCCAAGGCTTCACAGCAATCCAGATAAATTACTTTATAATCCATATAAATGTCCTCTGTAGCCTTTCCCTTGTCCACTGATGGAGTCACTCCACCACAGAAGACCATCGGGTTGGTCAGGCAGGACGTGCCCCTGGTGAAGCCGTGCTGGCTGTCCCGAATCCCTGTCCTCCCTGTGTCTCAGCAGAGCTTCCAGGAGGGTCGGTTCCATGACCTTCCCAGGCACAGAGGCTGACGGGAAGCTCCCAGGCTCCTCCTTTCCACCCGTTTTAAAGACGGGAACAACGTTTCACTTTTCCCAGTCACCTGGGACTTCACCTGCCACGGCTTTTCCAATAACCTGGAGCGTGGCTTGGCAGCTCCGTCCGCCAGTTCCCTCAGAACTCTGGGACGAATCTCACACAGGATGGGGTGGCGCGGGATGTCCCCACGGTCCGCCACGACATGGCGCACTATGTCGCGATACGTGTCACCCTGCCTGCCGCTCCGGGCGATGGGGCGTGTCCCGGGGCGTGTCCCGGGGCGTGTCCCTGCTCCGTGCGTGTCCCGGGGCGTGTTCCTGGGCGTGTCCCGTTCCCTGCGGTGTCCCCCATCGGGGCGTAGTCCGCGTCCCTTGCGTTGTCCCGCGGGCGGTCCGGGCGCTAGTCCGCGGTCCGTGCGGTCCCGGGGCGGGCGCGGTTGGCGGCGTTGCGGTGCGCGGAGCGCAGCGATGGCGGCGCGGATTGCTGCGAGCGGCTGCCGGATGCGGGGGCCGGGATGGCCAATCGCCGTCCTCACCAGCGGCGGCGCACGCCGCAAGTGCGCCCGCGGGCGGGGGGCTCGGCCCGGGGGGGGGAGGCCGCCGCGGCCTCCCCGCGTGTCCGCTGCCCGTGTCCGTGCCCGTGTCCTGTCCGTGACCGCCCGGGGCCAGAGTCCGCGGGACCGCGGCCCGCGCTGCGCCCCGGGGCGCGGGGATGGGACACCCCCGTCCCTTGTGCCCCCACGGGGGAGGGTCGGTGCGTCCCGCCCGCGGAGCTTCCCCGTCCCCATCACCCCTGGGACAAGGCGCGGGCCCGCGGGGCGAGCCTCACGGAGGGGAGAGTGTCTTTTCCCCGATAAGCAACTCGGTCCCGGCCGGTTGCTCATCCACAGCTCCCACCCGTGAGTGGAGTTTGCCCGGTCTCAGCCCACGTGGGTCCCACTCACTCTAGGGGACACCTCAGGGTCACCTACAGGATCTGATCTCCTCTGGGGCTCAGGGTCCCACGAGGTTCACCCTAGTCGAGGGGACCCCTTGGGGTCACCTACAGGATCCCACCCCCCGTGGGGCACAGGATCCCACGGAACGTCCCAGGTCACATTTCGCTTTTCCAGGGATGAACGCCGCCGTCCGAGCTGTCACCCGCATGGGGATATACGTGGGAGCCAAGGTGTTCCTCATCTATGAGGTTGGGATACCCCCCTGCTCCCTGTCATGTGTGGGGGGCACCCACCCCCCTGTGCCAGGGTACCCCTCACCTCCACCCTGCTCTTCTCCGCAGGGCTACGAGGGGCTGGTGGAGGGGGGTGACAACATCAAGCAAGCCAACTGGCTCAGCGTCTCCAACATCATCCAGCTGGTGAGGGTCACCGGTGGGGCCGTGGGACCCCCCGATCCCAGCTCCCCAAGTCCGGGTGACGAGCCGTGTGCCCCCGTTGTGCCCCCAGGGCGGGACGGTGATCGGCAGCGCCCGCTGCAAGGCCTTCACGACGCGCGCGGGGCGGCTCCGCGCCGCCCGCAACCTGGTGGAGCACGGCATCACCAACCTGTGCGTCATCGGCGGCGACGGCAGCCTCACCGGCGCTGACATCTTCCGCTCCGAGTGGGCCGGGCTGCTGGACGAGCTGGTCCGAGACGGTGGGTGAACCCCCTCCCAAAGCCCCCGGGTGGGCACAGAAGGCGTCGGAGCGGGGTTGGGATCTGGAGGTTCACCCCATCGCTGTGACCCCGAGGAGGGCTGGGCTCCCACACTGCTCCACTGGTGACGGGGGGGATGTGAGCACCCCAGAATAACCGGTGTGGTGGCTGTGACCCCCCCCAGGGCAGATCAGCGAGGAGGTGGCGCGGCAGAACTGCCGCCTGAACATCGTGGGGCTGGTGGGCTCCATCGACAACGACTTCTGCGGCACCGACATGACCATCGGCACCGACTCGGCCCTGCACCGCATCATGGAGGTCATCGACGCCATCACCACCACGGCGCAGAGGTGAGCGGGGCGGGCGCTGGGGGGGTGCTGGGCCTCCCCCCCGGCATCAACACCATCCTTATCCTCCCACCTGTGTCCTTGCAGCCACCAGCGGACGTTCGTGCTGGAGGTGATGGGTCGCCACTGTGGGTAAGGCCCTGAAGGAAGCCCATCAGTGGGATGGGATGTGGGATGTCATGTCTCAGGGCTGCCACCACCGTGTCCCCCCAGGTACCTGGCGCTGGTGTCCGGCCTGGCCTCAGGCGCTGACTGGCTCTTCATCCCTGAATCCCCTCCGGAGGACGGCTGGGAGGACCTCATGTGCGAGAGGCTGGGGGAGGTGAGGGGGTGTCTCCTACAGTCCTGTCTCCTGTTTCCCCACGGAGATTCCCCTCAGGAGCCTGGGCTGAGCCTCAGGCCAGTGCCCGGCCCCCGCGAAGCTTCGGGAGCCGCCGCCATTGTCCTGTGACCGGGGCACTCAGCCGAGCGCAAATCCAGCCCTCGCGTGCCAGGGGCGCGCTGGCGGGCTCGGCTGCCGTGACCTGAGCCCCCCCCGGGGCAGCTGCCTCCGGCGGGGAGGGGAGGGTGCTGGGACACGGCCACCGGGAGTTTCAGTTCTCTCCCCTCGTGCCAGACGCGCAGCCGAGGGTCACGGCTCAACATCATCATCATCGCCGAGGGCGCCATCGACCGCAGCGGGAAACCCATCACCTCCAACTACGTGAAGGACGTGAGTGCCCTCTCTGCCACCTGCTCCGGTGCCCACAGGGACCGGTGGGTCCCCGGCGGGTCCTCGGCATGACACCCCCTCTCCCCTGCAGCTGGTGGTGCAGCGCTTGGGCTTCGACACGCGCGTCACTGTCCTCGGCCACGTGCAGCGCGGAGGGACCCCCTCGGCCTTCGACCGCGTGCTGGTAGGTCCCGGGGGAGGACAGGGAGAGGGGGAGCCCCGCTCCTGCCACCCCTCTGCCCGTGGAAAAGGACTTGCCAGCTGGGATGAAGCTTGATGGGCTCAGCCCTGCTGTGCCAGGCAGAGCCATGTGCCCGTTCTCCATCGTTTTCTGCGGAATTCATGGGGTTTTGAGTCAAACCATCATCTCTCCAGCTGTGAATCGGCAGCTGCATGGTTTCCAAGCCTGTGGTTTCCAGCATCCCACCCAGCTGGTCCGGTGGCCCCGGTGTCACAGGTGCCCCTGTCCCTTTGCAGAGCAGCAAGATGGGAATGGAGGCGGTGATGGCGCTGCTGGAGGCCACGCCGGACACGCCGGCGTGCGTGGTGAGCCTCTCCGGGAACCAGTCGGTGCGGCTACCACTCATGGAGTGTGTCCAGGTGGTGAGTACCGGGGCATCGGCGTGGGAGTCCCACTCCCCACCCCACAGGTGTGGGTGTCACAGTGCTGTGTCTCTGCCTTGCCCCCAAGACGAAGGATGTGCAGAAGGCCATGGATGAGAAGAGGTTTGAGGAGGCCATCCAACTCCGTGGGGGGTGAGCAGCAGGGATTGGGGATCGAGGCAGACATCCCTATGGGATGGGGACTTCTCCTTGTTGGGAAACCGCTGGCTCCCACAGCCAGAAGGGTGTTCCCCCCACCCCACCCCAGGGTCCAAACATGCCTTGGGGACACCTCACCGTGTCCTTGCAGGAGCTTCGAGAACAACTGGAACATCTACAAGCTGCTGGCACACCAGAAGCCGGCGCAGGAGAAGGTGAGGGGAGATGAGGAGCATCAGGGAACACCACCCCCAACCTTGGGGACACGCATGGATGTGCTGTGCCCCTCCCTGTCCCCGCAGAGCCCCTTCAGCATGGCCATCCTGAACGTGGGAGCCCCCGCCGCCGGCATGAACGCGGCCGTGCGCTCGGCCGTGCGCATCAGCATCTGCCAGGGACACACCATCTACGTGGTGAGCGACGGCTTCGAGGGCCTGGCCAAGGGGCAGGTAAGGGGTGTCCCAGGGGGTGGGTTTGGGCTTGGATGGGGGTGATGGGGTGCCCTTCCCACCCCCAATCCCGCCCGCAGATCCGCGAGGTGGGCTGGCACGACGTGGCAGGATGGCTGGGACGCGGCGGGTCCATGCTGGGCACCAAGCGGTGAGTGCAGCCCTGGGAGACGGGGGGTGTAGGGGAGGTGACACCCTGTCCTCACCCACGGTCTCTCCTCCCCCCCCCCCCACCAGGACACTGCCAAGGACCTGCATGGAAAAGATCGTGGAGAACGTGCGGAAGTTCAACATCCAGGGGCTGCTGGTCATCGGCGGGTTTGAGGTGCGGGGGGACCCTCAGCCCTGGCTCCTGGGGGCCAGGGTGGTGGGCTGTGGGCATCCCAAAGGAATGCTTTTGGGAGGTGGGGCTGGCTGCGGGGCTGGCATCTCCCCGTCCCTGCTCGCAGGCGTACGAGGGGGTGCTGCAGCTGGTGGAGGCGCGCGGGCAGTACGAGGAGCTCTGCATCGTCATGTGCGTCATCCCCGCCACCATCAGCAACAACGTGCCTGGCACCGACTTCAGCCTGGGCTCCGACACGGCCGTCAACGCGGCCATGGAGGTGAGGGCCGGGCCGGGGAGCAGCTCACCTCCCAGCCCTGGGAGGCAGAGGTGGGTTTTCCCAATGTGACCCCCCCCCTCCTCCTGGTGCAGAGCTGTGACCGCATCAAGCAGTCGGCCTCGGGCACCAAGCGCCGCGTGTTCATCGTGGAGACCATGGGCGGCTACTGCGGGTACCTGTCGACTGTCACCGGCATCGCCGTGGGCGCCGACGCCGCCTACGTCTACGAAGACCCCTTCACCATCCACGACCTGAAGGTGAGCGGCTTCCTGGCTGAAAGAAGAAGGAAAGTCGGGGAAGGGAGGGCTGCAGGGCAGGGCAGGAGCTGGAGGAGCATGGCTAAGGGTTGATGGTGGTGGTGCCTCGGTCCGGCAGAGGGGACCAGAGGGACCTGGGACAGCATCCTGGTGTTCATCTTGCAGGCCAATGTGGAGCACCTGACTGACAAAATGAAGACAGATATCCAGAGAGGGCTGGTGCTGCGGTGAGTTGGGGACCTTTGGGGACAGTCACTGCAAAGCCCAGCCCCGTGGCGGGGAGCGAGGCCGGAGCTGAGTCCTTCCCGTGGCCAGAGAGGGCCCCTGGGCACTGTGAGGTTTGACACAGTGGGCACACTCGGCCGTGGGGACAGTCCTGCATGGGATGCCTCCACAGCTGTCCCCACCCTGGCCCCAGGGTCCCCCTGGGCACACAGGCCAGGGCTCTGGGCCTCAGGGAGAACAAAGCAGCCAAGAAAGGTGTTGTGGGGAGCACAGGGAATGGCAGAGTAAGGAGCAGCCCCCCCAACCCATTCCCTGTGACCCCCAGCAATGAAAAGTGCCACGAGCACTACACCACCGAGTTCCTCTACAACCTCTACTCCTCCGAGGGCAAAGGCATCTTCGACTGCAGGATTAATGTCCTGGGCCACCTCCAGCAGGTACAGGGGACAGGGCAATGTGGGCCACCGCTGTCCCCGTGGGCTGGACAGGCGTGACAGCCCCATTTCTCTGTCCCCAGGGGGGAGCCCCGACCCCCTTTGACCGCAACTATGGGACCAAACTGGGAGTGAAGGCGGTGCTGTGGATGTCGGAGAAGCTGCAGCAAGTCTACAGCAAGGGTGAGCCAAGGGCTGGGGGTCCCATGGTGGGCGTGGGGGAGGCTGGTGGCTGCTGCTCCGAGCTCAGCTCCCGGCGAGGTGGCCAAGGTCAGCCATGTCCCCTCCCAGGGCGTGTGTTTGCCAACTCGGGGGACTCTGCCTGCGTAATCGGGCTCCGGAAGAAGGTGGTGGCCTTCAGCCCTGTGACAGAGCTCAAGAAAGTCACGGATTTTGAGTAAGTGCCCGTGCCCTGGCGGTTCACCAGTTCCCAGGGGGACATTCCCGGGCTGTCCCCTCTAGAGCCGTGTCCCCCCGTGCAGGCACAGGCTGCCCCAGGAGCAGTGGTGGCTGAACCTGCGGCTGATGCTGAAGATGCTCGCCAACTACCAGATCAGCCTCACCGAGTACATCTCGGGGCAGATGGAGCACGTCACCCGCCGCACCCTCAGCATCGAGAAGGGCTTCTAGTGCCACCAGCCCCAACCACAGCCCCCACCATGTCCTCTGCCCCCCCCAGTGCTGCTCGGGGAGCGCTGCATCCCCCCGTTCTCAGTAGCCCTGTAGCTTTGCCACCGACCCCTCAAAGCAGGCAGAGCCTGGTGCCAGCTCCCAGAACGGCACAGTCCTGCCCCAAATCACTGGTGCGGTGTCTGGTCCCTGTGCAGGTGCAGAAGGGAGGTGTTGCTTGAGCCCAGCTGCACAGCCCAGACCCTTGATCTTCCCTTAATAGTTTATTATTATTTAATCATGGGGTATTTTAAGTCCTTGTCCAGCGGCCTGACCGCCTGAGCCAACCCCTGCTGCTGCTTTGTGTTCGCCTGCCCCGCGTGCGGGAGGGGGGTGAGGAGGGTGCAGTGCCATCCCAGAGGGGCTGGAGCTGCTCCCCGGGGCTTGGGGCTGCCCCTGAGCCCCAGGAAAGCTCCATCCCTGTGGGGTGTCAGGAGGGCTGAGCGCGGGGTCCCGGCGAGCCCCTCTCCCCCTTGCATGACGCTTGGCTGCGACGTCACCGCGCGGCCCCGGGTGCCGTGTCCGTCATCTCACCGCTGCTCTGTGACCCCGGATCCTGCACTGCTCGTGGTGCTGCTCCTCCTCCTCTAGAGATAAAACCTGCTGGAGCCAAACCTGCCTGCCTGGAGTGGTCATTGAGCACCAAGGGGGAGGGAGGATGGCAGGGCTGGGGGTGGGATGGGGGGGACAGTCCCTGCCGGGAAAGCCAGATGGTTTTCCCAAGCCGGATTAAAGCCAGGCCAGGAGGTTTCCTGGCTTTGCACATCCTCAAAGCCTGGGAGAGTGGGACTGCGGGCGGCTTCTTGCTGTCCGGGCCGCGGTAGGGGCAAGGTCAGCATCCTCTGCGGGCAGGCTTTGCAATTCCAGAGGAAAATCACTCCGTTCCCACCTTCAAAGGACGTGCCCAAGTGATTTATGGAGGCGCTGAGTGCGTTTGCTGAGGCACTTTCTCAGGGCTCCTGCCAAACGTGCCGGTCTGGCCACGCTCCGCGTGTTCAGCCATTCCAGACAGCTCCATGGAGCCCCTTTCCCAGGACACTTTCCTCCTGGGGCTTCCAGCTGACGGCTGCAGCCTCCAGGACAGCGCCAGCACCAGGATGCATCACAGGCTTTTGAGTCAAACATGCTGTTGTTTTGTCCTCCCCACGGAGCTGTCCCCAAGTGAAAGTTCCCCCTGATTCGCCCCCTGGCCTTCTGTGGTGGAGTGATTCCATCAGTGGACAAGGGAAAGGCTACAGAGGACATTTATATGGATTATAAAGTCATTTATCTGGATTGCTGTGAAGCCTTGGACATGGTCCCCTACAACATCCTTCTCTCT